AATGACAGTACAGAATGTAACAGTAAATGGATGCATTATGACAGAACGCTGTACAGATACGGCTGCCTAACAGTGATCGCTCAATAAATGTGGGAATTAGTTTAATTATGAAATACGCGACTAATGAAGGGAGTTCAAGGGGTGTAAAATGAACTAGACTGCAAATAAAATCTACAAAATAAGTTGGGGCTAAAAATATCTGATATGGAAATATGACTGTTTTATGTGTACTTTAAATGATGTCAAATACATTCAGTAAAATGGAGACACGGTTATGTACGATAATAATGCAGCTAAATATAACTATGACTTTAATGTATGAATGCAAATATAACAGTAATTTGCATACTGTATATTTCAATGTAAAAAACACTATCTGACAAAAGTCTTGTCGCCTATCTGCGTTTTAGGAACAACAAATAATAATTGACTTCTAGTTGATCATTTGGTATCAGAAGTGGCTGATATGAAAGACAAAGGTCACTAGATTACGCTGATTTTACCTAATAAAAAATGACCAAGCCTTGATTTTTATTTATTCAATTCAGACAGTTAGGTCTGACTTTGCTTAGACAAAAGTCTTGCCACTTAACAGAAATAATGTACAGAATATGAAGTCGTGGTGCAGTGGAAAACGACCTAATATTGTTTATGACTCACAAAAGCTTGGAGGACTGCATCCCTCTCTGCAATTACTTAAATAACTTATTAATAAAGTCATCTGGAATGGCAAAGAAAGCGTTCTTGCAGGACTCCCAGAGTTCATCAAGAGTCTTTGGATTCATTGTCAATGCCTCCTCCTTCATCTTACCCCAGACATGCTCAACAATGTTCATGTCTGATGACTGGGCTGGCCAATCCGGGAGCACCTTAACCTTCTTTGCCTTTAGGAAGTTTGATGTGAAGGCTGAAGTATGAGAAGGAGCGCTATGAATTTGCCTTCTTCTGTGGTTTGTAATATAATGAGCAGCACAAATGTCTTGATACCTCATACTGTTGATGTTGCAATCCAATGTGCAGATCTCTTGCACACCTCCATACTGAATGTAACCCCAAACCATGATTTTTCCTTCACCAAACTTGACGGATTTCTCTGAGAATCTTGAGTCCACGCGGGTTTCAATAGGTCTTCTGCGATATATTTGTGATGAGTGGGATGCAGTTCAACAGAAAGTTCAACATGTTTCCAATTCAACAAATATAAGTTGTTTTAATGAGTCTTAAAGAAAAGAAACCCTCTAGTGCCACCAACAGCTCAAATGTAATCTACACTTTTAATGTTTATTATTCTTTAAAATGTGGTCATTTATTGATCCATACCATTCATTTCATCAAATGGCACACTACTTTAGCTAAACTAGCCATGTATTGTCATAAAACATCAAATTATTAAAAAATATTGAATCAATTATTTTGTTTAAATAATTAATTAAATTGCTTTGTTTCATTAATAATAATAAAAAATACTGCTTTAAAAAATGTCAAAGGAACCCAACTAAAACTAAAACATGAAATTCTTAAATAATCCTATACTAGTACATAAATGAAACTACTGCCTCAATATTTTTCTTATATTATTGTAAATACATTGTATTGTATTTTTCTAAATAATTATGAATAAACTAGGTAACACTTTAGAATAAGGGTGCATTAGTTAACGTTAGTTAATGCATTAGTTAACATGAACTAACAATGAATAACGCATCTATTATTAAATTATTCATAAACATTTAAGGTTTTATGGAGTCACACCATATGGCCTTTTACCTGAACTCACATTGGATTGTCATAAAACCTAAAGATTTCGGATAAATTATCAAGTTTTAAAAAGACAAACAAGGATGAAAACATAAATATTACATTAGAAATACATAAAAATAACAACTAACTAAGATCAAATAATTTGGAAGTATTAAAATTACACAAAAGCTTTAAAGATTGATTGATTAAAACTTATTGCAGACTTATAAAACTACTGAAACAAGAGCTAAAATTAAAGGGATCGTTCATAGTCAAAGTTCATTTACATTTAAATAAAAACTGGAAACCTATTCATTAAGATGAAACTGTATCTGTTAATGAATACATTATGACAGAACAGTGTTTGCTCAAGGAATGCTGTGAATTAGTGGAATCATATTAAATAATAAGCAACTAATGAAGGGAGTTCAAAGATAAGCACAGCGGTTTTAGATGCAAGATTAATTAGACCACAAATAAAATGTTGAAAAATGTGGCACAATTTACTGTGGCTTTGCTAAAAATATCCTACTGATATGCAAATATGACTATCCCTGCAGGCTTTATACAGTGTGCATATTGAACATAATATGAAAATACTCTTTGGAGTAGCTTACAGAGATGAACAACAATTTGTTTTATTTTATGATCATATTTTATGATAATATATGATATCTGCAATTTATAACTTTTGATTGAGTGGCTTATTGATATGTATTTGTGTGATTTCATTTGTATAATTGAATATAACTTGCTATCTCCCAATGACTACTGGGTTTAGAGGTGGAGTTTGGTGCAGCACCTACTTTTATAGTATGAATTCATTCAAACTGAACTGATAAAATGTAAAATAATTCAGTTTCCTCATGGGATCAAGTTAGTTTTACTATACCTAATCATTTAATTATCCAACAACATCACTCTTGTCACGATCACCAGTGATCTAGCCCTTACAGATCGCTGAAGAACCACATTCATTATAACCAGAGCTACAAGTCTGCCAATGATATGAACTACATATCCCGTCTTGCACCTCACACACACACACGCCAGTTCCAGTTCTCTCTCTGTTTAAATACACAGCTGACGCTCGTAAAGGCTATTACCCAGGACTATTTATACACGTCACTTAAACTCACACATTGCTGAGTGTTGTGTGCTGAAACACTATGAAGCGTTCTCCTAGTCTAGTCTTTTTGTCTTTGATCCTTGCTTTGTTTTCTCGTTTATGTTGTTTTGCCGCCTATATCAACCTCTTTGCCTGTGATATCGACTACACTTCTGAATTTAGCGGTGGGCAAAGCGAAGCTTCAGGAAACACTGAAACAGTCGAAGCAAGAGTGTTGAAGCTTTGAAACGTTTCGAAACCCGTCTCTACGGTGACACCTGGTGGTCATTGTTTTATGTATTGCTCTGGAACTTGAGCAAAGAAACATTTACGCAAATTGAAGTATTAAACACCACATTGTAGTGTTGAGGTTTCAAGTAATTTAGTGGAGCAGTGAGAGTTTCTGACATACAGAGATAATGGATTTTGAATCCAAGGTGATGCAGCAGTAGATGTTAATTTTTAAATGATTTGTTCTTGTTTTGTTGGTTTGACATCCGAATGAAAACTTTGTTAATAAATATGTCTTGTTTGATCATAAAAATTCATCAAGTCATAATTTCTGAGTATTTGTACAAAATCGGGATATGAACTTGGGCCATTTGCAGCAGTTACTCTGTGCACACGCACAGTTCACTAGGCTACGTGAGATATACGTTTTTTCCTACCCTGTCAGTCAAACACAGAGTTGCCAGGACTCGAAACGCTTCTGAAATGACCAATGCTTTGAATCGCTTTAGTCACATGACCTGGTGTTTCTAAACACTTTAGTCACATGAACAGAGTGTTTCGAATCACCTGAGTCATGTGACCTGGGTGTTTCAGATCATACTTTGGTAGTTTTTCGAAACACTTGCGCTTTGGGATTTTGACACTGTGTTGACACATCAATTTCACGTCATCCATCCCTATCTGAATTACCCTCATTATACCGTTAAGTTTGATCATTGCCTGTCAGACATTTCTTAATAAAACTGCACGTGGGATTCTCAAGTTCACAGTCCCCTGACTCCCATTGGTTGTGCAATTCTTAGTGTAATTCACACAGAGAACGCTTGACAAACTACCTGACAAATATACACGTTTTCTTTATGTATGCACCAGAAATTTTCTTATCAACACTCCATATCCAATATCCTTATTTGTAAGTCACTTTAGATAAAAGCGTCTGCTATAAGGGTAAATGTAGAATGTATAATTCGCAGTAACATGTTTATGAAGCTCCACGCCCACACTGTAAACCCTAATGCTGTAACTAATTAATTGAGTTGAGTTCTATTAACTTAAATCATTAAAATTTGTTTATCTTAATTAACCTTGATGAGTATTTAGAACTTTTTCTTATTTTTGAGTTTGAAAAAATTTAATCTTTCAAGTAAGGTGAACAATTCTGCTGGGTTTAATCTATACAAAATGTCTCTTTAAAGTTTCATTAACTCAAATTCTGTCAGCCTAGTGATTTTGCGTCTGACGTCATCCAGGTTCACGTACGTGCTCATGCTTCATTCATTTTTTTCAAGATGGCGGATCGGCCTCGCTTCACACTACAGTAAGTAAAATATTTACAAATCCTAGAAATATTAAATGTATGTTTTAATTAATATAATCACAGTAACAGTTCAATGTAATGTAGAGTTAATCAGGGTGCGTTTACATGTCGTACATTACAGAAAACATGTTTAGCCTCACTTGTTGCTAACTAACGTTAACATTACTGTTTAAAAAGTTAGAATCAGTGCAATGTTAGCGTTAGTTGTAATGTGTTAACTCTGAATTTTAAAAGAGTGTGATAAAGACAAAAATATTTAAAATCGGCAGATTACATTTTTCAAAAAAATTTAAATCTTGGCGCGAGTATGCCTTTTCTCAGCCTGTGCTGAAGTTGTCATGGAGACGTGCGCTCTCACAACCGCATGTCATGGCGCTGCGCTGAACTCCATCCAGTATGTGAATGTGGTATTATCTTCGCGATCTGTAGGCACTTCGGAAACGAAAGGCGCAAGAAACGTAACGTTAATCATAACTCAAATGATCTCCGCCTAAACACTTAACGGTATTTTCTGATGACGCGCAAAAACGTAGTCTCAAAACTTAACTCTGTCACACGCAGCTTGTTGCTTGCTGATCCATGCATGGGGAGAGCCTGACGGAGAACATTTAAGCTGCGCTCCTCACCTGAGCAGGTACAGAGCAGAGCTTCATTTTACACTACCACATTGAGGTAAAGTTGGTTTTATATTCATACATTCATTTAGTAACAACTTGTGACTCGCTCCATAAATTGTTTACCATGGTTCTTTGTCTATTCGTTCTGAAATCACATGCAAGTATGACATGAAAACAACATTACACTAAATGCACTATTTTTTTTGACTGAACAATGTTGTACTTTGAAAGTCATTGGCTGCTAATATGATTTCACCATTAAGAATATGCAAAAATTACCTTTCTGAAATTATTTTATTAAGGTGAAAGTCTGAATGTGTAAATATAAAACTAACTTTACCTCAATCACCAGCACTGATCAACACTTAATATTTCCTCGCGCTTAAGACGACATCTCTGCATATCAATGATTACCTGATTAATGCGATCAGTTAAGTGAGTTTAAATGTCATTTAGGTCAAATGTATTCTAAAGGTATGATAAAAGTTTTTTTTTTTTCAATCTATTTTTTAAAATGTTTACTCTGGAGAGAATATAAACAGCCTAAAAAACAAAGTATGCATATCTATAACACATTAATACAAAATTATGTTATTAAATAAAATAATAACAAAACAAAATATTCAAGACGTGGTAAAGAAGACAGTTTTCTGATGTGCAAATTTTGTAGCTTAAAATATATTTATATCTTAAAAATATAAACATTTTAGTATATATTTTTACATCATTAGACAATAAGGTAAGTTTTGTTATTTCTAGCTTTTAAAATCAGGCCTTAAATTTCTTTGTCGTCCTATTCAGTTTTAGAAATTTCAATACTGTTTAAATTAAATCTGTGTTTATCGAATTAAAGCAACTAACATGATAATCAGCTCTATTGCTAACCGTTTTGGAGGTTAACGTTAGACATCAGGCAATTGTACTACTTCCACTCTCAGCTAAATGACACTGTGACTTTGTGTACATACAGAATTGAAGGTCAGGTGTTGCTGACAGATAGGTTCTTAAATGGAGGCATGTGAAAGGTGGGTAAAATATTTATTTTGTACTACTATGCCTGGCATATCCAGATAAAATAAATATTACAGTGTATTTATCAATGATACTTTTGCAGCAAGGAAAGTGAAACTTCAGCTAGACCTTGAGTTCAGTTTACAACATGAAAATCCTGATTTCAACATCTGATCAACACCTGATTTTCATCTGAGGTAAAAAATAGACAAGTAAATGAAACATAATAATAATATTAATACATTTTTTCTAGAATTGTATATTTTGTGGTGTGGGTTTGTTTTATGAAATTCTCTCTTGTTTCTTTTTGCTGTTTGCAGAGTACCAACATGTTACAAATGAGAATTTTCCCCACAAATTCTTTGCAAAACTGGACCACCACCTATTTCATTTGATGACAATTTTAAGGCAAACATCCATCCAAAACTGGCAAGACAGCAGATACCCTGGCTAATCTTTTAAAGGTTTATGATGAGCAGGTATGTTTGGGGTCACGTGTTAAAGTATACATTAAAATGTAATTTGAATTTTTTTTTTTTTTTTTAATTTTTAAAAAATTGATTCTTGATTTCCAGGAACTGAATGATGTCAGTTCATGACGGACTACTGTTATCAGAGGTCTTTTGGTCTTGCTGCGTGAGCGTGACTTAAGATTCTTTAGGAACACCCTGGTAAGACTTCATTCATTCTTTTCACAATTAGGCATGTTTAATGAAAAGATGAAAGTTTTGAAAACTTTTACTTAATAACATATTTGTAATCAAGAATAGTTGATGAATCATATAATATTGGCTCAGTCATTTTGATACTGTCCTTACATTAATATCCTTGAATTATGTTTTTAGATTGATAATCCTGCTGACTGAAGATGCTTTATTGGCCCTGCATTCACTGAGGGTCTCTGTTGTCCTGAAGAATGAATTGGACACCACCCACAGCACACTTCCAGACCTTTCTTGTCTTGTATGGATTAATGTATGCTCTTCACATAATATATAGTAAAGGACTTTGAACTTGTGCAAAAAGTTTTGCTTGGCATGGATGATGGAAAATAAAAAGTCTCGTAGCATGGAAACCTTAAAGAATGAGTTGATGTAGAGCTTTCTTTTTTTTTTAACTTAATAAAGACTGTCTCTGGGGTAGTAACTTCAAAACATTTATTTACCTTTAATTGGTAAGTATGCATTTTATTATATATAGGGATAGTTTGTCCAAATGTAAAATTCTGTCATTTACTAACTCTTCACTTGTCCCAAACCTGCTCGAATTTCTTGCTTCTGTTGAACACAAAAGTTAAGTAAAGCTGACAACCTGTAACCACTGACTTTCTAATAGGAAAACAAATACTGTGGAAATCGGTGGTTACAGGTCTCAGCTTTTTTTTTTTTTTGGTCAAAAATAACGTTTTAAGTGTTCAACAGAAGAAAGAAACTCAAACAGGTTTGGAATAAGTAAATGACAGAATCATAGTTCAACCAAGACTGAATATATATATATATATATATATATATATATATATATATATATATATATATATATATATATATATATATATATATATATATATATATATATATTGTAACGAGCGCACATGCCACGTCGCCCTGGTCGCTAATTCAACCCAGCTGGACCATCATCAACACAGGATCGTTCACAGCTGGACGTCATCAAGTGGAGAGGCATATAAACCAAGCCCACGCAAGGAGAAGATGAGCTTCATTCACCCAATGACTCCATGCGCTAACGCTTGTCTCTCTGTCTCTCCACAGCAGACTCCAGCTCGTGACGATCCCACATCCGACTACTCACTGTCCTTCACTTACTTCCCGGAGCACCAGAGCACCTCACCTTGAAGAAGAGCACCGTTTACACCCCATTCACGTTGTAAATAAAGCACCCTCCGGGGACTTGTCTGTAAACTTATCCAACTGTGTTGCTGTTTTCCCTCTGCCTCGCTACAATAAATATATATATATATATATATATATATATATATATATATATAATCTGCTCTCCGTTAAACAGAAATTGGGGGAAAAAATAAATGGGGGCGAATAATTCTGACTTCAACGATATATATATACAGTTTCTGTGTAGTTTACACTAAACGAGTCACTTCACAGAAAGTGCACTTATTATTTTTTTTTAACGAATGCCTTAAGAGTAAGTTTTACACTTATTAATGTATTATTAAATTTTATCAAACTTACAGTTTTTTTTTTCTTGAGGCTCTTATGTCTGATATCATATTTACATTGTGGGTAATTTTTATTAATTTCAGAATAGTGTTCATTTTCAATCTCTTTATGTCTAATAGTTTTTATCGTTTTAAGACATTTGTAATTGCATAGGAGACAAATTTGAAAGTACTGTTGGACATTTTTTTCTTTAACAATAAATGTCTAAAATGGTATTGTCTGTGTGTTTTAAATTACAGATTTATTTTGACAGATTTATGGGGTTTAAAGATTAAAATAATGGCTAATTTTATTTGTGAAACTGACGATGGAGAAGTTAATTAAAAAAAATGCTATCAAAATGAATGAGCTGGGTGACTAAGTATGTAAAGGTGAGATAAATAATTAAAAATAAGTTAATTGCTATTAAAATGTATGAGCTGGGTGATTTAAGTATTTAAAGTTGAAAGAAATTAAAGCAATTAAGTTAATTGGTATTAAAATGTATGAGCTGGGTGACTAAGTATTTAAAGTTTGGAAAAATTAAAACAATTAAGTTAATTGCAATTAAAACGTATAAGCTGAGTAACTTGGGTATTTTAAGTTAGGTGAAGTGTCTTGCATGAGTACAACAAACTCAAAACTTAATGTTTCTGTTTACTTAAAATAGATAATTTCATAACTTAAAAAATTTGACGTAACTGATTACCTCAAATTTTTTGAGTTTTGTCAACTTATTCGGGATTACAGTGCAGAAAGTAATCAGAATCTTTCGGGAAAGAGCCAGTTTGGAGTGAAAAAGTATTGCGTCCAAAAAAAAAAAAAGTTTGCTTTTAAACATGACATTACATCTTGTAAAAACACAATGTTCACACACAACCATGCATAAGATGTTTGTCTTATGTTCTGCCTATCCCTATGCAAATACATAAGAAGAAACAGAGAATACAGTGAAACTTTCTTTACATGAAACAACTGTTTGAAACAGGATGTTGTGTCTGCCATTGAACCTTACCTATGTACAGACACTGAGCAAATACATCTGTATGTCCTCCTAATACTGGAACTTCCAGAGTTCTAGAACAACTTGAATGGCCATAGTATAAGGTTGCACCGAATTTGATTTGTTACAACATATTTATATCAAAATGTTCTGCTGACATTTTAAAATTACTGTTGGCTTTTCATGTCTGCTGTCAAATTTAAGGAAATTGTTACCCTAAAAATATATATATTTTTTGTAATCTAGCCTATATTTTTCTACGATTTACTAGAATGCCCCCAAAAATAGATTTACAGCAAAGTTTTTTCACTGTAGTGAAAATGTTGCTTTTGAAAGACACGTCTAAAGTAATGTTATGGTTTTGATATCATTTATTTGATGTTTTTGTTAGTAGAAAGTTGCTTTTCAAGAACTTTCAGAACTCTTTTGTGTTTTTAATTTTAATAAAATGACAATATAAGAATGAAATATACACACATTTAGGAACAGTCAGGTTACTGTGGGTTTTATTTTAACAAAACAATTAAACTACAATATTCGAAAACAGCCACAGTGACAGCCTCTGTTCTAGTGTTAAAAATAAAGGTTCTTTATTGACATTTATTTTAACATTACAAACTTTTATAATCCATGCAACCTTTCAATACCTGATATTATTCTTTAAAGTGGAAATTATTTTCTATTGAAAAATGTTTCATTAAAAGGTTGTTTGAGGACCCAGAAACTGAACATCAGAATCAGAATCAATTTTATTGCCAAGTGTGCTTCACACACACACAAGGAATTTGTTTTGGCTACAGAATCTTCCAGTGTACATAAAGTGACAAGTGACAAATCAAAATAAATATGTAAAAAAAGATGCTAAACATTAAACAGAAATGCAGTTAGTCAAGAAATCTGGATGTTGAATTGTACAGATTTGCTATAAATATACAGGTTATACGGTGCTGTGTACAAATGCGAATGGAGAAAGTATTGCGTTGAATATTGATTATTGATATAAGGTGCTATGTACAAGTGCGTATGAGAAAGTATTGCACATTTATTGCACAGCTGGGGGATATTTAACTGTCCATAAGGTGGCTTGAGGAAAGAAACTTTTCCTGTGTCTGGCTGTTTTTGAGCTTGGTGCTCTGAATCGCCGACCAGACGGTAACAGTTCGAACAGGTAGTGTGCTGGATGTGAGGTGTCCAGAGTGATTTTGCGAGCCCTTTTACTCACTCTGGAAGAGAACAGTATTATTTGAAGTGTAGAAGGGTAGTGCCAGTGATACGTTCAGCAGTCCAGATTATTCGCTGTAGTCTATGGAGGCTATAGTCAACGGTTATTGAAGTGCAGAGGATGGACAGGATGACAGCTGAGTAGAACTGTACGAGCAGCTCCTGTTGCAGGTTAAACTTCCTCAGCTGACGAATGAAGTACAGTCTCTGCTGGGCTTTCTTCACAATAGAGTCTATGTGAATGTCCCACTTCAGATCTCGAGAGATGGTGGTGCTCAGGAACCCGAATGACTCTACAGCAGCCACAGTGCTGTTCATGATGGTGAGTGGGGGGAGTGCAGGGGGGTTTCTCCCGAAGTCCACTATAATATCTACTGTTTTAAGCGTGTTCAGCTCTAGGTTGTTGTATCTGCACTATAAGGCCGGCCGCTCCACCTCCTGTCTGTATGCAGACTCATCACCGTTCTGGATGAGGCCGATAACAGTAGTGTCGTCCGCAAACTTAATGAGCTTGATGAAGGGGTCTTTGGCGGTGCAGTCGTTGGTGTACAGGGAGAAGAGCAGTGGGGAGAGTACACATCCCTGGGGGGCACCAGTGCTGTCGGATGTGATTTTGCCCATTCTGACTATCTGTTGTCTATCTGTCAGAAAGTGCTGGGTCAGTTTGTATTCGAGCAGTGATGGGACGATGGTGTTAAAGGTAGAACTGAAGTCCACAAACAGAATCCTT